ATCAATATTTTATTTTTGGAATGCAAATCAATATTAATTATTTTATTTGAAACGGCTGCATTTTAAAAATTAAAATTTAATTTTAAATTAAGAATTGACTAACATACCATTTTAATTTGATTTTAATTGTATAATTAATATATTAAAATGATTGGTTGAGATTGGTTCTCACAATTACCACAAACAACTCAGTTCTCCCTTGAATAGACCCTATATATATATATATATATATATATATTCTTGAATTGACAGGCTGTAAAATTTAATAAATAGAAATTTTGTGCAATAATAAATTTAAAAATAAAATAAAAATAGTAAAGCCCTTTGAAACATCATCGGTGTTTTGCACTCCGAATCAAAGTTATCTCCTGGAATATCATCAGAAGGCGCAGCCGGCGGATTCTTGGTTGGGAATGGCGAGGATGAGCAGAATCGCGTAAGATAGACCGTGTGGAATATTGGAATCACACAATTTGGTTCTCCAGTTGCCTATTTGCGTGCTTCGTACGGTCTATCCCACGCTAATCTGCAGATTCCCTCTAATATCTCACACGCTCGAAGGGTAGAGGGCTGCCGCACTTGGCTGTACTTTTTAACATCATACAAGAAGTAAGCATTTTCTTCCCCCAACAGAAAATAAAGTAAGAAAAATAAATATCTAAGCTTTCTTCTAATCTGGTGATATGAACCTCTTATCATTTCAAGCCTGATTCCCAAATTGTATTTGTTGCAGCTCTTTTTTATATTTGTTCTCCTGAATTTGTTTGTTTACTTTGGCCTCTGCAGTCCTGTTCTGGTCAAACTGTACGTAATTTTACGTTTAAATATTTGAAAATCAAAGCACTTGTAAAAGAATGGATGATGAGACCAGCAGCAGGTTAACAGGGAGTGTTCCCCAGCAGGATTTAAAGCCTTCTTACTGGCTGGATGCCTGCGAGGACATCTCCTGCGATGATCTAATTCCTGGTGAATTCATCCATTTGGGTTCCGCTGCCATTCAAGAAGGTGGTCCCTCAAATCTGCAAGATGACAGCTTGGATCCTTGTTTCTTTGATGGTGTTCTTGATAGCATCCCACAAAACGCTAACATCGTTGATGCTCCACTCACAATATCATCTGCCATAAAAGCTGAAGATACTCTTCTTTCACTACTAGATGCTTCTACCAGTGATACTGGGAACAGTGTCAAGAGAGGTAGCAGACCTTGTAGCAGTGAGCCCAACAAGCATCATGAGACTGAAGTTGGGAACAAGATATTGGATCATAATGCGTTTCACAAGGTTCAGGGATGTTTTGATAACCAAGAAAGATTCGGAAAAAGGCCTCGCATTGATAGTCTCTCTTCCTGTAGCAGGAATCTCAAGGAAAGACCTTGTAGGAAGAGGGCTCGTGATCACGAAGAGAAAGATAGGAGGGATAGAAATTCAATCAGGAGAAAAGAACAGCATTTTAATGGTAGAAGAGGAAATAGGGATATGGATTGGAGGGAAGGAAGGGGTTATTGGGAGAGGGACCGACTGGGCACCAACGATATGGTTTTCCGTCCAGGTTCTTGGGAAGCTGGCTGTAACAAAGACATCAAGGCTCCTGTTGAGAAAAATACTGACTGTAACCAAGGAGAGTTAAAAAAAGATGATGATTCCAAGAAAAAAATGCCAAAGGAGCATGCGCGTAAGTATCAGTTGGATGTTCTTGAACAAGCTAGAAACAAAAACACCATAGCCTTTTTAGAAACAGGAGCAGGGAAGACACTCATTGCCGTCCTTCTTATAAAAAGTGTGTGCATTGATTTGCATAGACAAGGCAAGAAAATGCTGGCTGTATTTTTGGTTCCAAAGGTGCCACTTGTTTATCAGGTAGTATTGATTACATATATTAAGTTTCTCAACTTGCAAACCAGATTCTGAAGTTTCTGTTATCTCAATCACATGTGCAGCAAGCAGAAGTTATTCGTGAGCAGACTGGCTACCAAGTAGGTCACTATTGTGGCGAGATGGGTCAAGACTTTTGGGATGCTAGGAGGTGGCAACGTGAATTCGAGAAGAAACAGGTGGCTTTTCAGCTCTTGCACCACCCTTCATCATATTTCCTGAATTTTGGTTTTTATACGTTTCCATGAATTTATTTAGTGAACAATCATAGACAGCTATAATGTTGTTTACATTTAAAGTTACTTGGTTATGATTACAAAACCATGTTTGCAATGCAATCTAGGGTTTGCCTACGTCACCCTTCTTATTTGATAAGTAAACCAACTTTATGTTACCATATTGTTTGCTAGCTATGTGTGTGGAGTAGGATGCCATCATGCTATGTCTGATTTGTGTGGGAAGCTAGGGAGTAAAATTTCTTGTGGCAGTTTGAGTTTGAAGAGTAATGTGTAAATTTTCCCTCTTCATCTTTATAGCCTTCTGGTCTTTGATAAAGTGCTAATAGTAGTTGTTAGAGTAGGGCTAAAACTGTCAATGAAATATCATTTTCTGATATGCATTTAGGGTGCGGCAGATGCTAGTAGCATCTTTATTTAGGGTTTAGGGTTTTGTTTCCGATGAGATACAAGAAATTGTATCTGTGGTACTTAACTAAATCATGTTGACATGTGTCATCCCATTGCTCCCCCCCTTCTCTTGTGCTTAGAGTCGTGTTGACTTTCTTATCATCCATTAAAACTTGTGATTATGGTTCTTGTTAAAGTACGAAGACAGGAATGTCAAACTGATGCCCCTCTCCCTTTCCAAATTTCCTTATTTCGTTGTCCCCTGCATCTAACAACTGAAGTCATATGTGTTTCTGAAAGATATTGCACAGTTTCCGTAAGTTTCTGTGTAGCATCATAGCATTTAGGAAGTAAATTTTCATACAAGTCGTCAAGCTGGTATTAGGAACTAATGATAGCTGTGTGGCAACAAAATGAAGTATTCTCTAGAAAAGGAATCTGTATTTGACATTTTGGTGTTAATAGAGTTTCTTCTAAATGTTAAAGTTGATAAAAATTGTTTTGTTTCAAGTGAAAGATTGATAACTACATAAACCAAAGGGAATGCTAAAATTAAACCCCTTTGGAGTTGCTTAAAATTGTGAGAACTCAATATAGTTTGAAATACTTTGGAAGTTTGAATTATGAAAATCAAATGTGGACACTCTTTCTGGGATCTTCAATACTACTGTGACAGGCAGGTTTTTTAAGATGCTGTGAACATCAACCCGTATCTGGTGTCATGAGCAGCTCATGTCATAGTGATGTGTGAGAGATTCCCATAAATGTAGAAAGTACAGGGGCATAGCAGCAATAGGCCTGCAGCCACTGGTACCTTTTAAATTTGTGTTTCTGGTCTGTGAACTTGACTATGTGCAGGTGGCTTGGTTTAAAAATGCGCGCATAATGCGCTCCGATGTGCTGGAGGTAACGCATCAAAGGGGCTGATGCGAAGCGATTCCATGATGCTCTCTGATGCGGTCGCATCACCTATGCATCACACGATGCGTGCATCAGCGCATCCTGTATGTTTCATGTTTGGGCTCCTTTTTAATTCATTAGAGGTTTTTAGTTGGGCTTTTTGTAGATTAAAATAGAACGTAATAATGACCTAATAAAATCGAATCCCCTCTCAAGTCTCAAGTCGCATATCAGATTAAGAACATATACATGAGTCGTGAAGATGATGAAGTTGAGGTGAAAGCAGATATTGGAGGGTTTAATAATGATGAGGGAGATGAACCCATGTTGGGGTTTGATGATGCTGATCTTGGGGAGTATTAGTTGGTCACTTGGTCATTTAGTTTAGGGATTGGGGACTATTAGACATTTACTTGTGTTCTTCATGGTAGTAGTTTGTGTGTTTTGTTATTCCGATTCACGAACTTTTTAAGATTCTAATGCCACTTTTTGAACTACTTTATGTTATAAATGAAGTATTTTGATAGGTAAGTATTTTTAAGGTAGAAATTGATATGTAGAATTAATTTATAAGTATTTTTTGAATACCGGGTGCATCACGTGCGTGATGCGAGCGCATCCGCATCACACATCGGCTTCCGGGACCCTTACCGCCTCGGATCGCATCGCGCTTTTTAAAACCAAGGCAGGTGGTGTAACTTGAATGAAACATAACTTGATTAGTAGGTGATGCAACTTGAAATCTTGAAGGAAATAAATTTTGCTTATAGCTGCACATTAATGGTGCTATCATATTTTGAAGCACTGTACTTGAACTAAATGATTGTGGCTTCTATAATACAGTATTACAAGTTTTCATGCATTTAAAATCTTTTTTATGATGTTAAGGAGTGGGAGAAAGTCCTGGGTGATGAATTGGATCCTCATACATCATTCTCTTCAAAATCTTTTGTCTTTCTCATTTCGAAATGTCCTTGCCTCTTTGCTTTTTCTCATTCAAACTTCTTGAATTACTAGGTCACGTGTGTGTGATGAAGCAACTAACCCCTAAAAACTGCACTTGCAAGATTGCAAAGCACACCCCCTCTTATGTCGTCAATGCTCGTTCAGTTGCTGTCTAATGTTGGTTGTTTGGGATGTCATAGGAGTCTTGGGCTATGTCCCCTTTTGTTGACATTATGCAAAATACTTAAAAGGACATATTTTAATGTGCCATATCCTAAGGAAAAAAGACCATCAAATGAATCCTTCTGCCATGCATAGTGGTAACCCAGTAGTAGGTTAAATTCTTTTTCATTTAGTGCTTCAGGTTCTATCTCTAAATAATCATACTGGAAGCAGGCCAATGCATTTTACTGGGAGGATGTAATCAATATTGCTGCTCCTAATTTTTCATATGAATTGTTCTATTGATAACCATTCTAAATTTGCTTTCTCCTGTCTGTAGGTTCTAGTGATGACCGCTCAAATTCTTTTAAATATCCTCAGACACAGCATAATAAAAATGGAAGCAATAAATCTGCTAATTCTAGATGAGTGTCATCATGCTGTCAAGAAGCATCCTTACTCTTTGGTGATGTCAGAGTTCTATCACACAACCACCAAGGAGAAAAGGCCATCAGTTTTTGGAATGACTGCCTCTCCTGTTAACCTAAAGGGTAATAGCACTTCTTCATGTTGCCAATCTCTGTTTTTGTCTTTTAATGCAAATGACTTCCCTAAGTGAAGCTATCTCTCAATAAAAAGCTGAATTGATACTCATTTGCTTGCATAATTTATCATGCATTCTCTGTAGGTGTCTCTAGCCAAATGGATTGTGCTATCAAGATACGTAATCTTGAAACAAAACTAGACTCTGTTGTTTGTACCATTAAAGATCGTAAAGAGCTTGAAAAACATGTTCCAATGCCGATAGAAACTGTGGTGGAGTATGATAAAGCAGCTAGTTTATGGTCACTACATGAGCAGATTAAGCAAATGGAATTGGCAGTTGAGCAAGCTGCACAATCAAGTTCCAGAAGAAGCAAGTGGCAATTTATGGGAGCCAGAGATGCTGGGGCTAAGGAGGAGCTCCGCCAAGTATATGGTGTCTCTGAAAGAACAGAAGGCGATGGGGCTGCGAATTTAATTCAAAAACTGAGAGCTATTAACTATGCACTTGGTGAATTAGGACAGTGGTGTGCTTATAAGGTACAAGTAACGCTAGGGACTTTTTTGTTCTTATTGGGTCAAGTTCTGTTCTTATATTCTACTTTTGTACTAAATCCTTAGCTCTTGATTTGTGACTAGACCTGACAGTGATTCATGAACTTCTGTTTTGCAGGTTGCACAGTCATTTTTGACAGCCTTGCAAAGTGATGAAAGGGCAAACTTCCAGCTTGATATAAAGTTTCAAGAATCCTATCTGAGCAAAGTCGTTTCGCTATTGCAATGCCAGCTATCTGAGGGAGCAGTTCTACAAAATAACGTGAAGAACATGGGTGAAGTTGATGAGATGGGTTGTGAACCGACCTGCCTTGATGAGATTGAGGAAGGGGAGCTTCCAGACAGCCATGGTGAGTATATTATAACTGGTGTCGTCAGATCATCTTCATGTCCTAGTGATTATAGTGTTCTGAATCAACTGATCATTGCTAGATGAATTGCTAGTCCACTACATACTTCCATTATGATTATTATTATATTTAAATACACTTGATTAGCTTTTCATATGCAAATTGAACCTTCTATTAGTTTCAGTTTACGAGTCCCTTTTTCTTAAGAGTTAGACAAATGGTTTTGATAGGGTTGAATTATCTGGTTGTTGAATGTCATGATCTGAGTTGGAGTGTAGAATCCAAACTGAAATTACCAAGAAAAATTTGGTGGAATTGAAGATTATATAATTTAGAAAAAAATTACGAGAATTAGGTGGAAAAAGTTATCAATGACCTTTCTTGTGATTCAGTTCCTTTGCATATATGAATTTTCTATACCCAAAACATAATATGTTATTATATTTTGGTACTTTTCCTGTGATTCAATCTTTTTTTAGTTGAGGACCATCTAAGACAAGTGACTTCAACATCACATGGATTAACTCATTTGAGCACAACCATGTATTTTAAAGTCTCATTTAATGAATGGTCGTATGGATAACTCTTGTGATGTAGGAGGGACAAGTCCCATATGGATTGCTCACACCAATCTATATAATTTGCAACATACTCAATAATCGACTTTATAATCAACATTGTCTAAGGATGACATTAGGTGGCATCAAAGCATATTGCTCCTTCTCCTTGTATAATGGCTGTAGTGATCTTAGGTTGAACGATCATACAAATTGTGGTCGCTATGAAAATTGCTTATGGCACTCATATAATGATCCATGTAGCATTCCAATGCCTTATGTTCAAGTCTCTGACTATAAGTCTTAAGCTTGGATCAAACAATTCTAGAGATATTATCGTAGGTATTTGTACCTTAGACATTAGTATAATATATCCCATTTTTTCTCTGGCTCCACATAGCTCACGACCTGACAAGAAGAAATCTCTTAGATTTTTTACAATTACAAAAACTACCAAAAAGAAAGATGAAGCTCAAAATGAGTATTGATTAAAGAAAACAACTATAATAAACGAAAGGCCTTCTATTAACAAAAAGATAGACATAGTATGCATTATAATCAGCTAACGATAGGCTGCAAGAACAATCATCTAATGATTGGCTACCAAGACATACATCAGTAGTCTCCATGAACCAGAGCCGATCACCCATGTATCTAATACCAAGATCTAGTATGGCTATTATTCTTCTGCTGCAACATGGCTCTAGCCAATGGATATCCCCTTCTTTTAATGATATCATGAATGAGATCTAGGTTTTTTAGCCAATACCATTGCCTCATTGTTATCGTAGTAAATGTCTACTGGGTCAATGACTATAGTAGTGACACCAAGTTCAATAATTATCTTTTTCCCCCAAACAATCACCTTTATTGCATTTGAGACGACAACATCCTCGGTCTCTTAGAATTTGCTGTTCTCTCTTGATGTTAACTTGTTTGGCTATTCATTTAAGCAAAAAACAGAAGGTGATTGCAATCTAAAATCATCTTTACCCATCCTGAAACTGGCATCAATGTAATGCCTTACTACCTATCTATTTTCATCTCATATATCAAGAATGGATTCTTAGTCTGCTATCAGTCGACTTTTGCCTAGAAGTGACTATGGTTGGTACATGCTCGTCATGCATAAAGCATATGATACAAGTTCATATCATTAACCTTAAAGAAGCTTCTTTCGCAGGAAAGATATTCTAGTAAATAGAAAACTTGCCATTCATTCATGATGGTTTAAGAAATGTGTGTAGTATTCATTATTCAACTTAATTTCCAGAAGGCTTCAAAATGCTAAATTCAAATTTTGTTGATTAGGAGACTTTCAGTTACAACATAAAATCACCTAAACTTTCTGAAATGTCTTGTATGATAAGAAAAATATACAGTTCCTATCAACTTCTGTAATGGTTCTGGTTGACGATCTTATGCATTTCTTTGTTATAGCTGTCTCTGGGGGTGAGCATGTGGATGTGGTTATAGGAGCTGCTGTGGCTGACGGAAAAGTGACACCAAAGGTCCAGTCCCTGATCCAGATACTTCTCAAGTATCAGCACACAGAGGATTTTCGTGCTATCATATTTGTTGAACGAGTTGTGGCTGCCCTTGTTCTTCCAAAGGTCAAGTGTTTTAGTGTCTTACCTTCTATTATATTATTGTTCACTTAATCTTACAACTAACTATTTAGTTGAAATGGTCGGTCAAGCATGCAGGTTTTTGTGGAGCTTCCCTCTCTAAATTTTATTAATTCAGCCAGTCTGATTGGGCACAATAATAGTCAAGAAATGCGGACTTCCCAAATGCAGGATACTATTTCCAAATTCCGAGACGGCCGTGTATGTCTTATAGTGAACCATGTGACTATGGTAGTGACTGTGCATTGTTACTGAACTTTACAGTTGATGATTTAATTCTATAATTGATAGGTGACACTTTTAGTTGCCACCAGCGTTGCTGAGGAAGGTCTTGATATTCGCCAATGTAATGTTGTTATTCGCTTTGACCTTGCTAAAACTGTATTGGCTTATATCCAGTCTCGGGGCCGGGCCAGAAAGCCAGGGTCAGATTATATCTTGATGATTGAAAGGTAATGACTACATTATGTCATTACGTTATTGGTCTATACTTTACAACAACTTCAGGAATTGAATAATGTGATCTTTTCTTCAGAGGAAATTTGTCACATGAGGCATTTCTAAGAAATGCTAGAAATAGTGAAGAAACCTTGCGGAAAGAAGCCATTGAAAGAACTGACCTTAGTCATCTTACGGGTACCTCGAAATTGATTTCCACAGAGCCAACTCATGGGACGGTCTACCAGGTGGAGTCAACTGGCGCTGTTGTGAGCTTAAATTCTGCCGTCGGACTTATTCATTTCTACTGCTCTCAACTACCTAGTGACAGGTGCTGTCATGCTATAATTGAGCCTGTTGTGCCTATGCACCAATATATTTTGTCATCATACTTCCATGTGTGAGAGACCTTAACTGTTACTTGATAATTTTGTGGATCCATTTTTGTAGATATTCAATACTTCGTCCGGAGTTCATTATGGAGCGTCATGAGAAGCCAGGAGGCCCAACCGAGTATTCATGCAGACTTCAACTTCCCTGTAATGCACCATTTGAAAGGCTTGAGGGTCCTATATGCAGTTCAATGCGTATCGCACAACAGGCATGTGAAACTTTCTTGTGGTTTAAATCTCCAATTAACTTAAGGAATTCATCAATTTACTTTGTTCTAATATGCAGGCTGTTTGTTTAGCTGCTTGCAAGAAGCTTCATGAAATGGGGGCATTTACTGACATGCTCTTGCCAGACAAGGGAAGTGGGGGAGAAGGCGAGAAAGCCGACGAAAATGATGAAGGAGATCCACTTCCTGGAACTGCTAGGCATAGGGAATTCTACCCTGAAGGTGTAGCTAAGATCCTTCAGGTCAGTTTGATTTACTCGATCTTTTTTTTCACGCACATTGCCCAAGTAGGGGGTCTTCACGGAAACAACCGCTCTAAGATAGTCACAGATACAAGAATAATAGGCCCTTCTGTTTTCTTGACCCACCTAGGAACATCAAATTTTAGGGATCCAAGCCTTTTGCTAGTTTTTAGCTTTAGCTAAAGTAAGATTTTGACCAAATAGTACAAGATACCTGGTAATGAAGGATTGATTTTCAATGTAAAGGACCAACCCTTAACTGATTATGATAGACATGATAGCATTTTCTGTGATCAGATCTGGTAGTGCTACAATGGGGCTACTGTTGCTTTGATATGTAGATTGCAAATTTTAGGTATGAGTATGAGGAAATGGATGATTTGGTGGAGTTGGTTTCTTTCAAAACTGGCTCTCCCTACCCTACTTACACAGTCACTTTATATCTTCCAAATATTGGCTTATATATTTTCAAGTACATGCATGCTTATTCCAAATTCTGGGAAGAAGATAATTTATCCAGACTGCTGGTCCTACGTTTAGAATCCTTGGTTGACGAGCCCTTTGGAAGATTTATGTCAGACCTTATTCAATTGGATCATGAACAAATAGAATGCGATTTTCAGAATAATGGAAAATAATATTTGATATTTTTCAGTGCAATTGTTGAGTGAATAAGTCCATTGACAGTTCATATGGTATGCATTTACGTATGTTTCAATCTTTGATGTGGACTGAGAATATTATTTGCCATTGCACTTTGCCTACCAGGCTAGTGCGTATTTGATCCCAGTATGTACTTTGATTATCCATTGCTTCAATTTAACTTGAAACCACACACTTCATGTTGCTATACATTAACCAGAAGGTATTATATTTCTATATATAAAAACTTTGGCCATAACTCAATGTTGAGACGAATACGTCTGGGGATGTGGAATTGAAAATTTGGCTTTGATGCTTCAACATTAACCTCACTTTATACTTCTGTTCCATTCATATGTTAGGAATACTTCTTGGGGTGTGGAATTCAAAATTTGGCTTTGATGCTTCGGCATTAACCTCACTTTATACTTCTGTTCAATTCATATGTTAATGTGTGATATTCTTACACTCATGTTTATCTCCACAGGGAGATTGGATTTTATCTGGCAGAGATGAATGTGATAACTCCAACTTTTTTCCTCTCTATATGTATGTTGTGAAGTGTCTTAATGTCGGGTCCTCAAAAGATCCATTTTTGACTCAAGTTTCAGAGTTTGCAGTTCTTTTGGGCAATGAACTGGATGCAGAGGTACAATGTTGTTTTCCATTTTCTTCTTGTATGATATGATTAAATGAAGATCCTCTGACCAAAAAACATATTTAAAGGTGTTATCGATGTCAACGGAGCTGTTTATCGCACGAACAATGACAACAAAGGCATCTCTTGTCTTTCGGGGGTGTATTGAAGTTACTAAAAGTCAGGTTGGTTGCTTATCTTCTATTGCTTGTTGCCGTTTGTAGTTTCTGTTGTTTGCTTGAGTCAAGCCTGTTGACATAAGTTTTCTTACAGTTGGATTTGTTGAAGAGTTTTCATGTAAGATTAATGAGCATTGTACTGGATGTGGATGTCGAGCCATCCACTACTCCCTGGGATCCAGCCAAAGCATATTTGTTTGTGCCTGTTACCAATAAGCAGCTAGACCCTATAAAAGAAATTGATTGGGATATTGTAGAGAATATTATAGGAACACCTGCATGGAACAACCCCCTTCAGAGAGCTCGGCCAGATGTCTACCTTGGTACAAATGAACGGACACTTGGTGGAGACCGCAGGGAATATGGATATGGCAAATTACGTCATGGCATGGCATTGGGACAGAAAACACATCCTACTTATGGTGTTAGAGGGGCTGTAGCACAATTTGATGTTGTCAAAGCATCTGGATTGGTTCCTGACCGAGAAGCTAATGGAATACCATGCAATGAGGACTTGACAAAAGGCAAACTGATGATGGCTGATTCTTCTACTAATGCAGAGGATCTGGTTGGAAGGATTGTTACTGCAGCTCATTCTGGAAAGAGGTTTTATGTTGATTCTGTACGCTATGATATGACAGCAGAGAACTCATTTCCAAGGAAAGAAGGTTACCTTGGTCCACTTGAGTATACTTCATATGCTGATTACTACAAGCAGAAGTATGTGCTCTTGCCAAATTTACAATTACTAGTGTGTTAAAGAATTATTATCCTTGCTTTGTTGCGGTGTGACGGGCCAGGGGTGGGGGCGGCTTTGGATGCTTGGTGTCAATGAGTGCGTTTAATGTATTACGTTGCCATTTAAGGTCCATAACTGTCCACAGTCTAGATTTTGTGGAGATATTGGAATGTGGACATCACACCAAAAAAAATGTATTACAAGATATCTTTGTGTGATTTTTCTTCAATACGCTATTAACACAAAAGCAAGTTATACTGTGTTTTTGGTTTCCTGTGATTAAGCTGTCTCTTCATGGAGATTATGTATTCAGGCATAGTAGTTGATTGCTCATTTCATTTCTCAAGTATTAAACATCATACATTCAGGCAAATAAGTTGATGGCACACTCCCTAACTCAATCACTTGTGTTACTTTTGTCGAATGATGCCTGCCTCTGCACCTGTTCCTGAATAATCTGTATGTTGGTTCCTCTCAGCATGTGCAGTTTGTGTCTTATAGTAATGTTGTAAGAATAATGACTTCTACAACCATCTAGCCAATAGTTTTTGAGTTCTTAATTTAGTAACTATCAATGCATGAAATTTGACATGTGGGCATGAATTTATTATTATTTTTCTTTTCAACTTCATAACACATGTTTCTAATGCAAGGACTGGATAGCTATATGCACCTACATTGATGTGCTTGAAGAAGAGATTCATATTCCAATCTGTAAGGAGGTGGTTTAATTACTATATTGTTGGTAATTTCCGATTCCTTTCTAGATTGGGAGGTTCTGCTTCTTCATGCACATCAGTGGTGCATTAGCTATTTAGTCCTGTCACAAATAGGTATGGGGTAGAACTAATCTATAAGCAGCAACCCCTGATAAGAGGCCGTGGGGTGTCTTATTGCAAAAATCTTCTGTCACCTCGGTTTGAACATTCGGAAGGTAACTCCCCTTTTAATTGACCTCCTGTTAGTAACTTTATATACATCATTTTAGCCTCTAGAATGGATTGCCTAAGATTCGATTGTTAAGGTCATGAAGGCGAATGCGAAGAGACTCCTGATAAGACATATTATGTGTTCCTTCCTCCTGAGCTATGCTTTGTACATCCTCTTCCTGGATCATTAGTTCGTGGCGCACAGAGATTACCTTCAATAATGCGGAGAGTTGAAAGCATGCTGCTTGCTGTTCAGCTTAAAAATGTTATCAATTATACTGTTCCTGCATTTAAGGTATCATTTTTTCCATTTCACTATTTTTCGTTGGCTGTTACTGTTAGTTTGTTGACGTCTTTGTGTACAGATTTTGGAAGCTTTGACTGCAGCTTCATGCCAGGAAACTTTCTGCTATGAAAGAGCAGAGCTGCTAGGAGATGCCTACCTCAAATGGGTTGTTAGTCGCTATCTCTTCCTCAGATATCCCCAGAAGCATGAAGGCCAGCTCACCAGGATGAGACAGCAAATGGTTAGCAACATGGTATTGTACCAGTATGCACTTACCAAGGGACTTCAGTCGTATATCCAAGCAGATCGATTTGCTCCATCTAGATGGGCTGCTCCTGGGGTACTACCTGTTTTTGATGAAGACATTAAGGAAGCAGAATTCTTATTTGATCAAGATAGAGTACTCATCGAGGCTGTAACAGGAAGAGATGAATATGAAGACGATGATTTAGAGGATGGTGAGCTTGAGGGTGATTCAAGTTGTTACCGGGTCCTCTCCAGTAAGACACTGGCTGATGTTGTTGAAGCATTGATTGGCGTTTACTATGTTGAAGGTGGAAAACAAGCTGCCAATCACTTCATGAAATGGATTGGGATTGAGGTGGATTTTGATCCCACAGAGATAGGATGCTCAACAAGGCGTAGCAACGTTCCAGATAGCATACTAAGGAGTGTCAACTTCGATTCCTTAGAGGGTGCACTGAACATCAAATTCCATGATAAGGGTCTGCTGGTTGAAGCAATTACTCATGCTTCCAGGCCATCTTCTGGAGTGTCTTGTTACCAGCGGTTAGAGTTTGTTGGTGATGCTGTCCTGGATCATCTTATTACAAAGCATTTATTTTTTATGTACACAGATCTGCCACCAGGACGCTTGACTGATTTGCGAGCTGCTGCTGTCAATAATGAAAATTTTGCACGTGTTGCTGTTAAACATAACCTGCATGTGCACCTGAGACATGGTTCAAGTGCACTTGAAAAACAGGTGTGTAGTTTATAGTGCTGTTATTGGACTTTACTTTAGCACATATCTTCAATGATTGTTTTCTTGTTCAATCCTTTTTCTAATATTAACTACAAAATCATGCTCATATAGCTTCTCATCTTTCTGCTTTACCATCCCTCTCATCTGTTGTTATGATGGTTAGATACGAGATTTTGTGAAGGAGGTGGAAGGTGAACTGTCAAAGCCAGGGTTCAACTCGTTTGGTCTGGGAGATTGCAAAGCTCCAAAAGTCCTAGGTGACATTATTGAATCTATTGCTGGTGCTATCTTTTTAGACAGTGAACGCGACACAGCAGTTGTATGGAAGGTTAGGTTTGCTAGGATTCTAATCTGTATTTTCAGGTGTTATATTAATGGGGGAGTTTTACAAGTTCATATACCCTTGGTTCTCATCCAGGTTTTCCAACCTCTATTGCATCCAATGGTCACTCCAGAAACACTCCCAATGCATCCAGTGCGGGAGTTACAGGAACGTTGTCAGCAACAGGCTGAAGGACTGGAGTACAAGGCCACACGAAACGGTAACCTGGCTACGGTTGAAGTTTTCATCGATGGTGTCCAGGTTGGTGTTGCTCAAAATCCCCAAAAGAAAATGGCACAAAAGCTAGCTGCTCGCAATGCTCTCGCTGCTCTGAAAATGAAAGAGACCGCTGAAGCCAAGGAGAAGGCAGATGAGGATGGGAAGAAGAAGAATGGCAGCCAAACATTCACGAGGCAGACCTTGAATGACATTTGTTTGCGGAGAAATTGGCCGATGCCATTGTACCGGTAAGAAAGCACCTTAACATCTAGCAGCAGCATCTTCATCTTGTGACATCCGTGGATTGATTGATCAATCTTGTGTGTGACATCTGTAGGTGTGTCAGTGAGGGTGGTCCTGCCCATGCCAAACGGTTTATATTTGCCGTACGGGTGAATACTTCTGATAAAGGGTGGACAGACGAATGCATTGGAGAACCTATGCCCAGTGTAAAGAAAGCTAAAGACTCTGCTGCAGTTCTGCTTTTGGAGCTTCTAAATAGGTGGTATGCATGATCAATTGTTACATTTTGGTTTCAGGGCCAATAATTGATTCATCATATCGGACGTATTCAATCGAACATTCATATGTAGCCAACTTAGTCTATATGACTAAGTAGATGAATTAAATGACTGCATATCTTTTAATGACAAACGATTGACTTTTGTAAAATGCTCTAAAAATATCTGTCCTGGTTCAAAAAATGCCATGTACTTGTTGCATCTTCAAGTAGCAAATCGTAATCCATCAGGATTTAAAGCTCTTACAAAAACTAAATTCATGGATTTATTGCAAGTCTTTGGCTTCATCTCCAAATAACATCACCAATCTTTCAATATCTTCCATTGTTGAAGCAGCATATTAAATTGACAACTCAACTTGTGGATTATAGAAATGGCTAAATGCATTTTCCAAAAGTTCAATTTTCATTCTCCATAGTTGTTAGGAGGAGGAATATGACAATTAAATCCAATACATTCAGCATGTCCATTCTATAAGGTAATCATATAGCACTCACAACTACACAGCAAGTTTTGTGAGCTTTTAGGACTAGACTAAAATAATATACAACACAACCTTCCTGTATCAATGCTCTGCTTCCAACCGCATTCTCTTTGGACCTTTCTCATCATTCTGCTGGCTCACAATCTTGCCTTCTTTAGCCTCAATTGAACACCTCTTGTAAGGTTTGAACCCTGTATGATGAATGTTCAGCTTCACATTCCCCAATCCCATTGTCAGTAGCCCTTCATCCACACCATTACTCTCCCCAGCTTCTTGACTCATCCTGTTGAGGTCCAAATGTGATACACCTTCACCATTCTCGTCATCCCTCTCCTCGCCTACATTACAGAAGCTTTGTGGCAGGACTTCTCTCGAGAAGAGAGCTTGAAAAGCAAGTCGTCCCTGAGTGTCAAGTCAAACAGTAAGCTACAGGTTCTATTTATGTAAAATTCATCTTATATTCTTTGTCTATTTATGTAAAATTCATCTTATATTCTTTGTCCATTAATTTTGTTTCTAACTTCTCCAATAATCTCGTCTATACAAAAATAAGATATAACAAGATGAATTTGTTACTTGCCTCTTCCGAGACCTCCTTCCATGATTCGTTTGGGCTAATAGTGCTTCTACACCTACGGGAAATAGAGTCAATACATGGAAGATTCACATCTGAACCTTTAGTTTCTTCTCTTTCCTTTCCATGCTTGGGTAAAGCATCCGTCTCAATTTCACTGCTAGAAGTCGTATTAGAACCACAAGAAGACCGGTCAACTTGTTTCCGAACATTAGTCTTGCTTGAATCATGTAGCTCCGTCACTGGTGCCATTTCCTTGGTATCACCCGCAATTGGTTCAGTATTTGATTTCTTACCTCCCTGCCCATCAGAATCCTCCGATGAAGACAGATCCACAGATCCTGGAGGTGGATGTTCTTTTGGGAAGCCCTCACCCTTTTCTGCATTCATCTTCTCTCCTTGCACGACACCTTCAGAAGGAACCTTCTCTCCTCCATTATTGGCCACTCTTGCTTGATTGCCGTCTATGGGTGTCCCAAATGAAAATGGAGAAGTACAAGAATAACCCGGGTAAAAAGGAGTACAAACAGGAAGCAGACCATGAGCTGCCCACCATGCAGTTGCAGCTGCTACAGTTGCAGCAGCAATTGCTGCCATGCTAGGAGTCTCGGAATTTAACTGAACTGATGAAGGAGAATCTCTGGAGGAAGCTTCTGTAGTTGCAGGATGCCAGAACGTAGCTGCGAAGCTTGCTGCAGCATGGGCTGCAGGATTTTGTAGCAGAGATGAAACAATGAGGCTGGAGATTGTGGATGAAACATGGAAAAATGATCTGTAATTCTCTTGATTATCACATAAAGAGGAAAGAGGATGGAAGGTTGGAACTGTCTGATAGCTGGAAGATCTTGTAGCATTGTTATGATGCCCAGTAACTGCAGATGCTGCTATGTTAACAAATAAGTTGGGGTTTTCAACTTCTCCTGACTTATTGAGTGTTGATTCCTGAAAGGACATATCTGGAGTTGCACTGCTTTTTGCACTAATTCCTAGATTTTTTCCATCTACAACTTGTACAGGAACATGCCTTGGGTAATTCTGCACACCCCGTATGTCATTTATTGACAGGGCCCCAACATTTCCAGTAGGCTGCTTCAGCTTATCAGAATATTGACGGTGAATGATATTTTCATGCACAAGGTGTGAGCTCTCAAATAATGAGGTGTCAGATGTAATATTTGTGTGATTAATGCCATCTTGATCCAGTTTCTGGTGCTCTCTGGTTTCAATGGTGATATAAGATTCATTTGCTTCATCATGGGCAATGACCTCTTCCAAGGCAGGTATGAACTCTCTAAAAACGCCTGGATTTAGGGCTTCAACTGGTTTTGGTACGGAATTTTCATTTTCTGATGGTCCTTCGATAGCATTTTCCACTTGCTCATTTAATTTTGCATTTTCAAGATTCTCTTCGTGGCTGGTTGTCTGGTATGAAGAAAAACTAAATCAAGTAAACAGAATTGAAGAAATGCAGGCAACAAAGTGAATGTGCAAGTAAATAAAACCTGTATATACCTCTGGAAGGGGTTTTCTCTCCAGATCCAGTATTTGTATCCCGGATTGCAGAGAAGAAACTAAGGTTGCTTGTATCCTGTCATTTTCTGCCACATGTGGATGATTTGGGGGGCCAGTCTTTCTAGGATAAGGATAATTTGGTTTCCTTTTAGGGCGTGGAGGAGGAATTTCCATATCAAGAGCTTGTCTTATTGGTATTCCTCTAGCAACAGCCTCCTTCTCCAACTATTATAAGAACAGGGAATATAAAGAAAGCAAAACTCCAATTTTAAATGGCAATATATATCAGCACGTGCTAACTTTTTTATTAATAGAAATGATAACACAGTTAACAGAATCAAGTAATGTCATAGTTCGATAAGATTCGAACTAGTAAAAAGGTAGCATTAGCAGAAGTGAAGTATCGACTTAAAGCACTATAATATCTAGCCTTTCTGAACACAGGATTAACCAACACAAAGAAATCAGATAGATCATGGAATGAAGAAAGCACACCTATGACACACGTCTCGAACATAAACACACAATCAAATATTTTCAGTGATAGGTGGAACAACCGGGTGAATGGATATAACACTGATAACAAAATCTTCCCAGTGAAGACACAGGAAGGCATCTTTGTTTGATAAAAGTTTGTGGTTAGAACTACATCCTCATAAAAATGGGAAACATTGCAATGAATCAACAACGTTTTCATACCACAACAAGCAAATGGTGGTTTCCTGTTTTAGAGCGTCATTATGTTGAGGTATATAGATACACGAGGAAAGATACAAGGCTCCACTTTCATACATAAATGTAATAAAACCGATAGCAAATATTCTTTCATGTTATTGAAGTACAAACTTTTACAGGCACATCAAATGATTTAAGTATACAAATAGAAGTAATGAAAGATAGAAAAAATTTCACTTCTTGATTTTACTAAATAAACCCACCGAGTTCTAGAAAAATCATTAATGAAGGAAATAAAATATATAAAATCAAGAGTAGACTCTGTAGGGGGTTGTGTCTAGGAGAGTAGGGGTGACAGGGCGCAGGCTTGTTTCCCTTCTAACACAACTCCGAGATGAAGTTAGATACAGAAGAGAATTCTTGTCTCGGTTTCTTCACAACACGCAGAGGATGCCCAACCGACAGACAGTGAGTATATATAGGCCATCAATCAGTTCGTCCATGGCTCTTGAAAAAAACAATTTCATTTAATTTGGCTAATAGATGCAGAACTTTCAGAAAAAGTAAAGGTAAAATTATATTATACTACCTTTATTGTTGTAGGTCCAACGTCATCCTAGGTGAAAATGAAATATCATATGGTAAAGGATGAAGGTGAAACCAAATATATGCTACCAACAGTGAGCATATCTAGGGCCAATCAACCAGTTCGGCAGAAGCTCTTGAAAAACACATTGAACAGTTTATGTTTTGTTAAACTTAGCAAATAGATAATAGACATTCAGGAAAGTAGGGACATAACACATATGCATTGTATGTCATGTGATATGGGAAGATCCAACTCTACTAACAAGACATAATGAACCATTAGCAAGTCAAGCAAGTTAATCGGGGTGAAGGTGAAATAGCATGTAAAATGTTCTAGTCCAAGTCATATGATCAGAAGTCCATTGTCAACACCTGGGATAGAGAGGGACAAGCAAGCGAAGGTAGGATACTGTACTTAGTAATTTTGAACTAGCACCTAAGAACGGAAGGCATCTATTAGGAAATGGTAGAGTCTGAAGAGGCATGTTGAGCCCATTGAGCAATAAGAGAACCCTGAGGAGTGGCTAAGGCTGAGATAACGATCCCTCCTTTAGACAATTGGGACAGTTCCACTTATGTCCAAAACCTTTTACATAAGTGACGTTGAATCTTTGGTTAATCACCCGTTGCAAAAACTAGTAGTATATGTGTGTGTGTATGATTACAGTTATATATGGTTTTAAAAAACAGTAAAAAAAATAGTGTAAACTGATCAGAACAACAATACCAAGAGGAACAACGCGTTTGGGCTACATGATAGAAAACATCTTTTTCTATAATATTTGCGTCAGGAATAAGTGTTAACTTCGTGTATCTAGAATCATATAATTACATAAGCATTGACATGTAGTTAATGAAAAAGAATGATAGGAACGAATGGAGTACAGACCAAGGATATACACAGTGACACCCAAAGTTATAGTCTTAGGCATTATAACAATCTAAATTCATCAAATAAGCTACACGAAACACAAGAGTTAGCGACTTCAGATCCAATCATAAATTACCCCTCCTTCAATCAATCATTATTCATTTAGTGACATTGGAACCAATTTTCTCACTCCCTATGCTACAAAGGGAAACCTAGTAATAAGGGAAAACAATTCGCTCTTACTAATGTCACCAGTAACTTCATGCTCAATGGGCTAAAATATATTCACAAAGGGAATACACGACAACAAGCCTTTTATCCCAAATTAGTTGGGTAGACTGAAAATGAAAACCAAAAGAAATAATAACTAATTTATTTTCATTTTCATGAAAATAACTAGAGTGTTCAAGGTGTGATTTTACTTCAGCCACACCATAGACAAAAGCTTCTCTAACAGCACAATCACCATTTAATGTAAGCATATGGAGCAAATTACACATCTTTCAGAACAGAGAGACATTACACAGGAGAGACACGTTAATGTTTATGCATATTTCATTTGCATAATATTGACTTGTTAACTAGAGAAAGCCATTTGAGAAGAATAAAGTTCACTTACTAATAAGAATAAGAAAAAATAAGCTGAAGAAACAATCTAGTTAAGGTAATTTAGTAATATAAATTGTTCAGCTAGAACCCTATCATATGTTGGACTTTACCAAAGTAGCCAAGGAATATCGAAGAAGGGTAAAGGACCATGTGCAAATGTTAGTACGAAGAGGATAAATATTGGAAATAAATTGAGGTAATTTGCCTGAATGTACTGAGAGAAACAATTTACTTGAGGTAATTTAGCCAATCAAAGTGTTCTACTAGAACTAGAAGTCTATCATATGTTGGACTCTACCAAAGTAACTAAAGAATATTACATATGGGACAAGTCCAAAAGTTAGAATTAAGAGGATACATAATGGCATGGCATTTTTATTTTCCTTGATAAAACTCATAGTTTATTTGTACGTTAGGAGAGAGAATAGATATGTAATATAACCATTCAAGAAGGATGGGTTGGTGTCAGTATAAAAGCTTATGCAACACCACTTGAGATGATTTGTTTGTCTCCAACATAGACCTTTATTAGAAGACAGACATGTAAGAAGAGGCTGTTAATAGAGATAGAATGGCACTACCAATCTAGAATCTTTATCAAATGGATCATCTTTTCAAGTAAAAATCATGATTAAATTGATTCAAGCATGTTTAAATTTCTTACGTCTTACCAGTTGCATGATGTGTTTAAAGAACCATACATTCATATAGCATTGTTCAAAAAGTTTAGCCATAAAAATATGTCATGGAAGTTCAGGAGTACTATGCTTAGAAGTTTTCATATCCATAAGCATTCCTTATTTGGAAACTAATCATTTATAAGGATGACTTATTAGGAACCTCGTTATTCACAAGGCTTTTATGCAATTAACTGATCCCATTATAATGAAATCATCATAGATGCAAATTCTTAAACATGTTCACTTCTGCCGATCCAAACGAATCAAACAATAAAATGAATATTTAGAAGTTTAMWAARAWAGCTAATTATAACACAAGAACTATATCTCAATTGTGAAAAGAAATTAATTTAACTAAAATAGATATTCTCAATCTAAGCTGGAGTTAACAATTACATAATTAAAATACAAATTTTGCAAAGTGCAAAACCAAGTATTACAAAACTAGAGAAAGTTCATAACAGAAGTTGGACACAGGACCTGAAGCTTAGAAGTCAATGGTAACACCAACCGATATTGATTGTTTCTTGTGAATGATATATGCGTACTATGTATAAATTAAATAAATAAACAATGCCCTTGCCTCCACAAATCTGGCCCTCGGCGTTTGACCTTGGGGGAAATAAGGATGAGAGATTTAAGTGAGTTGAATATACCATAAAAGTTAGCCTTAGAAGTGTGAGAAATGATGCTATTCATCTCCCAAGGTTTACCATTACATACTTTCTTAGGCTTCACATTCTTCTATTTTTTATGTACTTGTATTTTATTTTAGCCTACCCCAACTAGTTTGCGATAGAAGACCTGTTTCCTTTTACTGTCGTTGGATGAATGTCTCTCGATTTCGGTAAATAGTCTTCAGCAAATTAAATGGAAAGATATTTTACAGCACACGCATATCAAATGCAGAACAAGATGCTTGAAACATTATCAGTGAAAGAAGATATATAAATAATAGTGCATTCCCTTAATGGTACTTGAGATAAATCCTATGATGAAACACATATGCAAAGGAAACTAAATGACCTTTGTAAAGAACTTCTGTGCATGACTTCTGATTTGCACCGCAGTCTTGGTTCCTATGTGTTCTGCATTAACACCAAAAATGGAGGAGCAAAAGGGTGTCTCCGATTAAAGAATAACTATACATTAAAGATAGAGAATCCGAACGAAGTTTTCCACCATGAAAGATATACGTAATTTTAGAGGAACCAAGAATAAAGGGTTTTAGAAATTAAGGCAAGGATTGTAAAATTCCAAGCAAATGGTGAGCTTATCACTTTATATTGCAGGTAGGAAAGAAAAAGAAAAAAAGTATCGAAAACCCTTAGAAAGAAAAACCAAGATGCAGAATAAGCCGCTACACATAAAACAACCTACATACCTTCTATCCGTTGCCAAGCTCGCCCATATAGTTTCAGGGCTTCTAAAAAACTATTATGCTCATCCTCTGTCCATCGTTCACGTTGTTTAGTAATTGTATACGGTTTCCTTGTCTACAATACAAGGATAACAATAAATTGATTTTAATTCGCAGATCAACATGCATAAGATACATGACAGTGGTTAAAGAATAACCTTAATGTTCAACTTTTCTCTAGAGTAGGGGTCCATCTAGGGACAAGGGCAGCTGTTAGCGCTGCTTCAAATCCTCTCGAACAAGTAAGGGATACAAAAGCCGTCTTTCATCCCTCGAAGCATCCAAGCAGGAAAATAGCTTAGCCGTTGTATTCAACAATACCTGATAAGGTAACACTAGCGCAAAAGACGAGAAATGTAACAATAGCAGAAGTCCATAGGAAGAAAGAAAGACCCGGTAACTAATTAGTATTTCCGAGTTCACTGACTGCAAGTATGATAGATCATTCCAATATATGAATGGTTGTTAATCTTTAATTTCTGGAATGAAGAGAAAATCAATCAAGGGGAGACAATAAAAGACACACATACTCTTGAATAAACCTGAAACAAGTAATAGTAGTAGTGAGGGAGAGGGAGAGGGAGAGGGAGAGAGAGAGCGAGAAAATTTCTATCGGAACCCTCACCAAAATGAGCCGAGTGATGCGAAAACCTTTGGAGATGATGTAAAAAGGAAGAAAAATAAACAAGGAAACTTGAATCAGTAGAGAAAAGAGAAAGAAAAGGGATAAGGGCAACCATAGGAGAAGCAGAAAGGGATACCTTGGGAGATAGTGGCCATGGGGGAAGACAAGAGTTGAAGTTGGGATCTTGAAGGTGATCAGCATGAACAGGATTCATTCCATGACGGAAAGATTCAGGCAATGGTCCAAATCTGAAGAGAAGTAGTTTGTTGGATTGGATGCAAGGAGGAGGAAGAAGAAGAGAGTAAAAGCGAAGTGAGTCGAGCCGACGAGAGACGAGAGAGTTTAGAGAAATCTGAGCCACTACAATTTTTGGGGGTGGATTTATTTTATTATTTTAAGAAAACAAGAGGGTTTTAATTTGAGGCTGGAAACGACGGAAGGCTCGCAGAGGGAGTGAGAATGATGACACGTGGCCTGAGATCAATGGTGGATGGACAACCCAGGAAGCCCACACCCCTTGCACTTTATTTTTTTCTTTATTTCTTTATTTCTTTTTCGTGTGTGTGTGTGTGTGTGTGTGTTAGGAATTAAGCGAGGCATTGTTTGTGGCATGAATTGCATTTTGTTATTAGGAGATCTCCGCCACAAGTTCCCCCGTAACCCTAAACTCCATCCACCCAATTCCTCTTGTCTATTTTTCACTTATAATTAAGACTAACATTTTAATCTTTTTATCAATTTCTAACGGATTTCGTTTCTCAATTCAACCTATGTTAAAATTTTCTATTAAATAAATAATATTTTAATCATTTCGATTACAAAAGTTTTTAAAAAAAAAAACCTCGATATTATAATTCTCTCTCATCTGCTCTCTCGTGTCTCACTCCCTCCGGCTCAATATATTTAGAAATGAAAAAAGTGAGATTGAATATGACGAGTATGGCACATTCGTGCCAGCAGACATCTAAGACTAAGTGTATACATATATCGATGATGACCACAAAGTGCCAGACTGGAGATTATATGCATATATTCCTACTTATTTGGATAGTGATAATGTATTTGTTATGATTGTAAAAAGTGTTTAAAATGATTGACAATGTGATAGGATTTCTTTTGGTTTACAACCTATTTAAGAGATTGGAATTGAATAATTAAAGGAGTTGAATTATTCAGATGGCTAAATAATTAAAAATGAGTTTAGTTATTATTAAATTAAGCGATTTACGAGAGTCTAATCATATATTATGTTTTCATCCCTCTTTTCACATGGACATTAGTTGTAGTCTTTGATTTGTAAAAGTGTGTGAGTCTAATGTTGTGTATTAGAGCTAATGAAGAAGGCACATTTAGCTTCTTTCTGATTCTGATGGTGTTGCAATGTAATATCAACACACAACAACTTAGCCATATCCATATATTAAATAATATGTTATGGTTCCTTTTGTGCAACTTGCTGTAGCTTTACCCTTGGCCTGATGTCAAAATGTGTTAGATAGGTGTTGCTATTATGTTCATCGAGTGGTTAATATACGAGAGAGACTTTCATTTGATAACATGCTCCATTTCTTCCGAAACATTTATCGAGCCTCGTTCACAGCCGTCGGTGTTTCATGATCCACCTTGAGTTTAAAGGGGGCGTTCGCTACATTTGTGGCCTAGCTGTATTCAAGTTATCAGTAGAATCTAACATCCTGAAAGGTCAAGGGTTCAATTGATGAAGAGGATGCTTGAGTTCATTTATTGTATATAAATATCATATTCACTTCAATAAATAAATACAAGGTTGTCCCTTGACTTCCTGTTTCATCCTCAACCTACGAAACACATAGGACATAAGAAACAGCACATCGATTTTATCCCCAATAAAAACCTTGTTCATAGGTTCATCAATAAGTAAACGTAACCAATATCCGCACATGACTGACTATAAATAAATAAAGGTCCTTCTCTTCCTTGTAGCTAGAGCTAGCTACACAATTACAAACTACAGATCCATACATAACATAATGTAGTAAGGCATGAAATGGGCTAATCAATCACCTTGTCTTTTTTGGCAAAATAATAGAGACCATATGCCAACACCAACATCAGAATGGGCAAAACCAACATTACCATGATGTTGGATGAGCTCCCTGAACCACTTTTCGATCCAGAACCTGAGTTTGAAGCTGTTTTTTTGTACTGTCCTTTTTGTGGCATGGTGTTGATATCAATATCACCAACATAGTATTCTGTCAACATGTTTCTTGCATTCTGACTGTGACCCACATCTTCGAAATCCTCGGTTGCGTCTTTCTCTGCAAAATATAACACAAACAATCAATAAATCATGTGTTGGTGATACTAATAAAACAAGAAGGAAGCAATATCTTACTAGTGGCTAACACCAGGACTTCGTCACCTCCAGGATGATCATCCAGAAATGGTGTAATATCATACACCTATCATGTCACAGTACAAGACATGTCAATAACCTTCCAGAAATTAACATAACTTGCTGTATTGCACAAAAGGATTTAGAATTCTGATGCTTGTTCTCCCCTTGGGTTTGAGAAAAACAGGCATGCAGGAACTTCCCAGATCCACGCGTATTCATATCAAGTGGAGAAAATGAAAATCACACAAATCCAGCTAAAACCAAAGTAGGCGACAAGCTGACAACAACAATGAAAATGGATGGAACAAGATGAGAAGACAAATACAAGACAAAGGCACTACCAAACTGTGCTACATTCCTTTCAATTGGTTGCACTTATTTTGATCAAAAAATTCAGCAAAAATCCTGAAGAGAAATGGCCTCTCTTCAACAAGTTAATCTCCCAATCAAGAGTTCAAGGACCAACCATCATATGATTCTGTTTTGTGATGCCCAGGACTCCCCAGCCACATTCATACTATACCGATCGGTGCAGAAGGAGCCTCGCCCCAAGCTCCGAGTATCTTTTTGGTACAAAGTCGAGAGAGAAGGAAATGAATTGAATTTTAAATC